AAAAAAGCGAATTTTCTGGTGGGAAAACCGACGACTGGGGCTTTCTCTGAGACTTTTACGTGTTTTTGCAATATTTTTTTCAGGGGAGGGAATCGATAAACTTTTTGAAAATATCATGTGCATGATATCAAAAATATTAATACCAAGTTCTAATACGGTTTTCTAAAAACGCTCAAAGAGTTGTAGAGGCAAAAATTAGGGAACTCTTTGCGAAAACCATTTTCAAAGAGGTTGACCCGCCTTTGAGCTAAAAATCGCAGACGGACGCAATTTTTACTACTTTCAGCTCCTCCCACTCCGTGATGAGGCCGAATGAAAACGCAGGGCTTCCACCGTTTAAGCCAGAAATTTGTGACGTGTGAAGTGCTTCCGGTTTTCAATACCAATTTTATTTTCCTCGCGCAGAAAATGAGCATATCTGCATGGTTCTTGTATCGGAATGCGCAAATAGTCGCGAATTTCATCTACTAGGTGGCCCACTGAAACTGTAAGTGAAATGAGACCCTGTGGCTTCAACAGTTTTTGTGTTGCGAATTTCTGGTTAATTTTAGTCGAAAGCCAGTTAAATTCTAAGCAGAAACCAATTTTTACTTTTCAGAATTTCCTCCCCTCCATTAATTCACCGCTGAAGATGCCGCCTCGAGGCCTCGGTTGGAGCACGCTCTGAATTCATGGACATATTGTACCATTCCTGGTTTAAAGAATTTTTTAAAGTCACCACACTTCTACGAGGCTTAGAACACACCTTTGCCCTTAACTTTGACCGTTTTTAATAGTCCGGAAATTCAAATCCAACAAGGAGGCAATTCCCAAGTGGAGATAAAGTTCTGAATTTGGTGTTTTAATCACGCTTGGGTCATTTTTTGCACTATGAGCTGGTTCTACCCGTATGAAAATGGTATGGCGAATCCTGCAGAAACTGGCACAACTTCCCTGCACAGTTGATTGTGCAGGTAACTATATGCCGAATTATGAATAACTGGCATGAGATTTATGTCGAACATATTCTGCATAAAAAACCTAGCATAATTATGCATAATCCCCATAATATTTATGCCGAACATTTTCTGTCTGAAAAATTCAACCTAATCATGCATAATATCCGTGCCATATCTTATATGCATAAAATTATTTGGCAAATTGTGACTAAAAATTATCTGCTTATTGTGTATAACAAAGTACGTTGACACATTTATTTATTCCAGTTCAATTGTATTCATAAGTTCGGTAACTATATATAAATTCCCATTTTCATCATATTGACAAACAAATTTCATACGCTCTACATTAGTTGACAATTCGAACCTAACATCATCGCTGATACAATTTTATTTAATTATTATTTAATTATTATTTAATTATTTATTTTATTTTAATTTTAACTGATACAATTTTATTCGACTTTGGTGAATCTTTACACTCAGCTACAACACACTTTTTCACGAGCAAAATCGCATTTGGGATACCAAACAAATTAAGTAGTTTAAAAATCACATACAATTTACCGTTAATTTTAACAATAGAGTTCACCCGTTTGATTGTATCACTATTACTGGAATTAAAAAATTTACCAGATATAATACATGATTTGTAACTAAAACCTTCACTGTGCATGTACCCTAATTTCTCTAGTTTCTTTCTCTCAGTTGTACTAAAAATGTATATCTTTTTTGCTCCCAAAAGTGTGCAATTATCAAGGGGACAGGACTTCCTGGAGTATTTCTTATTTTCTATCATTGAAATATGAAAATCTTTAGCTATGCCGTTTTGGAAATGGACTTCCCCCAGAGAACAAACTTTTTGAGCACATATAATTCTACTAATTATTTGTGACCCTACTTCTCTGGTACCGCAATAGCTATTTGTCAGCACCCCATTATAGTTTTCGAATTGGAACAACGAATAGCTCCACAAGGGTCCCCAGCGTCGCACGCAATCAGCAGCGTGAGTTAGTAAGTGGATGTTAAAACTACAGTAGCTCTTATCATATAAATTAGGAGTTAACAAACAAAATTCTTTAACCAATTTCTCAGCTTCGTTAATCTTATCTAATGTTACAGTATCCTGGGATAGGGTTGAAATAGAAACAATTAACTTGGCGAAGTGTTTCAAGTAACAATTTGGCAAAATACCTCGCAATAATGGTATTGCAATGACCATCCAAGTTTTCCACTCGCTGGCTTTCCAATACTTCATTTCTTTAATTTCCCTCATACTTCGACTACATTCATGTGGAATTTTACATTTCGCAATTCGTTGATTAATTTCTTGCGCTTTTGTGCCAATATAAAATGGTTCAGAGTGGTTTTTTGACTCTGTCCATGCAAAAGCGAAAGTGCGAACAACTCCAAGCAAAACGGTATGCATATAGTCAAAAACAAACCCTCCAACAATATCAAAATTTTTCAAATTAATAAGAGGAGATGCTAATTTGATCCCAAAATGAGACGCAACTATAGACCCGTGTTGAAGTTTGTCTCTTAACTGCAGTAGATGTTGCACAAATATTTCTTTATCTCGTTTTATCGAAGTTTCAGTAGGATCAAATATCCATTTATGCCTCGAGTCAGATATTTTAAAATTTTTTCCCTTAGCAAGGCACCATGGGCAGCTATATTCGCCATTGAACTGGTTAATTCCTTGAATTTGACATCGAGCAACAGAATCCGCAGCGAACAAAGGGAAAAATATTTTACTGGTCATCATTTTGTTGTTAGCCGTCCAGACAATTCCTTCTGTAGATAATTGGGCTGCCTGTTTCATGAATGGATTTAGAAATAGAGTAAAATTTGGCTTTCCTTGACCTAGCCAAAGACCTCCTAGAATCGTGTGTTTTCTACGGAGTGGATAGTCAAGTTCGTTAATGGATAGAAGAAGTGGCCACACACTAAACCCTGATGAGTTAAAAATTGAGACACCATCAGTATTTAAGCAGCAAGTCAAGTCATACTTTTTTAATTTTAATTTTTTGTAGTCAGATCCGTCGATGATGTCACTTATTACGTTGCTAGCATTAAGATTGTTGGCACGTTTCACAAAGTTCTTGATAATTGACTTCGAGATTGCTTCTTTTTCTAAAAGTGATTTCAATACAGATCCAATATCGAAGGAGACAAAATAATTCCCATCTTTGATTGCCTTATGCATATTAACTTGTCCACATTTGATACAATTATTCGAGTTTTCAATAATGCACTGACATTTTTCACAAAAGGGGATCTTCTTTGCTAAAGTGTAGTCAGGTCCCAGCATCTTGTTCAACAAAAACATTAACGACGGGATTGATACTCCAGTCGGTAAGTGAAAATTAATTAACGTTAGCAAATCGGTCATTGCAGATTTACTGAGTTTGTGACGGATGGCGAATCCTATTACTAACATACAACTTTCCGTTGTTGTAAGTTTTGCCCCAGGAAATATTTTGTATTGTTTGTTGTGGTGCTAGGATAATTAAAATATTCTTAGTTATAGAATTGAGCGAAATATTGATTATTTTGATAAATGAACTCATTGGCTACTTCATTTTTATCGTAATCGTCCTCATCATCGTCGTCGTCTGAACTTGTACTGAGGCCAGATTCGGAAACTTCCGCATCGTCGTTCATATCCTAACAGTGTAGTTGTAAAGTATACATAAAGCTAAAATAGTTGATATACTGTATCACAATTGGTATTGTCATATTACCAATTGAGGTAACGATGGGTGAAGATTGTCATCCAAGTCCTCATTACTTTTTCCCACCGTGTTGTCGCATTGCTGGTTGGGTTGAGTATTATTATTTAAGCCAACACCATCAACCGCCGACTAATTTAAAAATAATAATTTATTTTTCGAATTTTTCATAACTAGATTGGAATTTACCCAGCGGCGTTTTATCCTGTGCCGGGTCCTTATTGGTATACTTGTCACTTTCGCGCATCCTCCACGAGAGCCAAAATAGTTTTTATAATTTCTACGGGTTGACATTTAGTATTCAATTGTTGAAGTACTTAATTTAATAAGTTTCAAATGTGCTACTTGTGACGATTCGGGGGTTACTTTGGACATACTAAACTCTGCTCTACAAATAGTGGGAATCTTTGGAAGCAATCAGTGTGGATGGCAACTTAACCAACTGCTCGCTCGGAATTTCATTCTCATTTACTAAATATCTACGATTCCAATCAAAATGACATTTATTTTAATTGAGTGGTCCAACGAACGTCCCAAAAAGTATTCAGTCGTATCCTCCGAGAAGTTAGAAGATGGAACGTTGCGTGCTAATCCTCAAAATTTACTGGGACAGGTTGTGCAAGTTATTTGGAGTCGTGGGAAAATCTACCCTGGTTTGGTTGTAAAAATCGGTTCGTGTAATAATTGGTTCTTTCTAATTTTCTAATTTTCTCTCATTAAACTTATTAATAATTGATTGTGCATATGTTTATGTTAACTAATATTTTTTTAGCCAATGATGAGGAAGCCTTATCTGATGAAGCTGATTTATTGGCTATGGCTTGTTCTGCCGCTCAAGCCGTGGAAACCGGTGAGCATTCTGGCATAAAGAGGAAAAATACAGAAATCAAATCAAAGAAGGGTAAGGCAACAAATTTTGGCACCAGCGCAATTGCAATTAGAATTATGTTGGAGAGTTTTATCATATATTTTTTTATAAATTCAGGCAACAAATCCACGACGACAAAACGGATTCGCGACATAGAAGAGGTTGTAGCCAATCTTGTCCCTTCAGCTGATCGGCAAGATATCCAGTCACAAGAGGAAAGTCACTCTTCTGGTCAGGAACAGATCCCCGAAGGAGGAAATGAATCAGTGGATTATTCTGGTATTTATTTTCTAATTAAACTTGCACACATGCGAAGACAATAATGTAAAAATGATGGCAATTAATTACACTTATTATGCAGAAAAATATTTGAAAATGAAGCAGAAGTACAAGGCATTGAGAATTAAATACAAGGATTTGAAATCCTCAGTCAGAGAACCATCCGAGGTAGACATTGTGTCCATTATTTTCGTCTTTATCAGTGTAGACTTTATACTTTAGACTTTAAAACTTTTATACATTTCTACGGTTATTATTTTAACAGGTTAATAAAAATTGTGTTTTTAACAGGTCGAAATTTACGCTAACAGCGGTGTAACATTGCCCATGGCCGATTTGACTTCCATCAAAATGGTTTCGTCCAAACCTACTGTGCTAGCACGCAATTTATTTAGACGGATCTTTACGACAGAAGAACTTTCGACGCATTCTCCTTTATGGAAGAAATGCAACGCCAACAGCAATGCCGCGCCTCCTCTTCCAATCATCGACATACCCAAACGCGACGCTGTGATCAGTAAGACATTACATAAATTATTGAGTATATTGGATTTATAAATTGCTAGAAAGATTTGTAAAGTCTATATTGAACTATTCTGCTCCACAGAATTTGTTCTGAAAGAGCAAGGGCTTGATGGACTACCAAATTCTGGTCATGCTGCCGAAGACAAAATTTTCAACAAGAATAAGAAGGTAGCAAGGAAGGAGATTATTAAATCATTATCAGATTTTTTGAGGGAGGAGCAGAAAAAGGCCCGTAATTAATTTCAATTTGATGTAATCAAATATTTGAAAATTTATTTACTTGAGAAAAATAAAATCACTAGAGAAAAATACCCTACGAATTCGCATGCATAATTTATTCTGTATAAATAATTCTTCACGAAATACGGCCAATTTGTGCTACGAAAATATTGTACCCAAATGTTTATGAAGAAAATCTTAGTCATACTCTTTTATGCAGAAACAATTCTTCCTAAAAATCGGCCAATTTTAGGCACACAATTTGTACATGATTCGCCATATAATTTATGAAGGAAATGTCGGAAAATTTTCATACGGGCTCGTCGAGTCGCTGAGTGATATTTTATCTCGTCGGTGTCCCCATACGCCCAAATTAGTCGGGTCGTGTCAATCTGACAAATTATTTTACATATGTATTGGTCACCAATTAATCTTCTTAAATAAGTTAATTCTTGAAATGCAAATTACCCCGATCGGATAATCTTCTTCATCACAAGAATTTATGAGTCTTGAAAATTTTAGAGTAGTTTTGCCCCCGACTTCGACACCTTCAAGCAATATCCAGTCGTTGTGAAGATCCATCTTTGGTGTTACAAAGCCTTGCCCGATGTAGTCCTTAATTTTTTATAAACAGTTTTAGAAATAAATTTTAGAAATTTTATAAAAAATATTCCAAATTCGTTCACTTTAAAAATAAATAAAAAACTATTCATCTGTTATGCATTTATTTAAAATTTAAAAATTAACATTCACTCGTGGTTCATATTTTAATATTTTTTTCTTAAATTTGCCTTATCAAGTGAATTTTTCAACCTCTCCCATGAACTAGGAATAGCTTGAAAAATTAATAATGAACAAAATCATTCATCATTCTTCATGAATTTTGTATAAATATATTCATGTCTAAATTTTTGAAACACATTGTTCACTCATTATTCGTGAATTTAAGGAGTAGTGAATAAACAATTTATTCATTCTCTATTTAATGAGTGAATGTGAACAGGTATTTATGCATTCAATCTTAATTTCCAACTATTTACTTACATCCGAATACGTCGAACTATCCGAGTGTACACCACCAATAAAAATATCAGCGCCTAACATGCTTCCACCCGGAGAAATTCCCAGCCCCACCCAACCCGTCGTTTCTACTTGCATTTGGAAAGTTATCAATTCTGTCTTGGAATCGAATTCCCATCCCAGAAAAACTTTCCCTTCGCCATCCAACTCCTCCCAGTTTGGAAACGATTGCGTATTTACGAAACTTATAAATCCAAGCAGAAAGAAAAATATGGGAAAAATCATGACTTAAATATTAAGCAATTTGAGTATTTAATCTCAATTAATTTTGTAGTTATGTTGTTGACGACGACAAAGAATAATTGCGAATTAAATCATATTTAACAGCATGGATGCTATTTATGGCGAATTACTTAATCATGTTATCGGGTTGCAAATACGTTATCTGTACCATTGTATAAAGTTCAATTATATGCAAATGCTTAACAATAGAATTGGATTTGTATTAAATAAGTGCAAAGGTAAGCTTCAGGTGTCTCATTGTATCACTCAGGTGTAAATATGTTAATCAATTATTAAATCAATCAATCAATCAATCAGTCACTACTTTTTGCATTAGAGAAATATCTGTCATTGTAATCTTAATTAAGTAATTGGCTTGATCCATAATTCAATTACAGTCACTTCAAACCCCATTATGAACAAATTAACGCCGAAGCGTGACAAATAACGTCATACCACAAATTATGTAACCACAACGTTGATATTGATAACATTACACGAATCAAATAGCGAGTTAAATATAGCCAAAAATTAGGAGTCACATGACACTTAGGTATCTTTCCGTTGAATATCCCCTTTGAAGAAAAATACTTATTGGGTGTCAAAGTTCAAAATAAGCATTAAAAATTCATATACACAGATAAATATCTATGTATACTATTTAAGACAAATTCCATGACAGGGGCGCCATCGCGATCTTGTCCCGGTTATCAATTTATAAGATATGGCGCTGTTCATGGTTAAAAGTATTTGTAAATACCTGCTTACAACAAATTCATGTAGTGTGTACAGTAATAGGTTATTCTTTTGTTGTTCACAATATTTCTAAATTACACTTAATTTAAAAGTATTTGCATATTGTCTAAAATCATGAGTTTAAGTAAAATGTCAGAACTTGTCATTCCTAGTCAGCATTGCTCTCTTTTTTTACCCACTTCTAAACATGATGAAGAGGCTGCACACTTAAAAATAATGTTCCACTGTTGAAAAATTAGTACAATTTGAATATACGATATTTAGTAAACTGTACTAAATCCAGAGTAACGCTAACTCGATATTTAAGGGATAAGTTATCCCTTACATAAGTTATCCCGGATAACGTTTAATTAAGATTTAGTATAATTTACTTAATAGATTGCATTTACTATTCTAAATGGTCACACTATTTTTATGACTATGTTAACGAGTCAACACAAGATTTGCCCAATTAGTAACATTCTTTATCACCGCTTGCATCGTTTCTAAAGAGGTTAAAATCCTTTTTAAGATGTCAAGTAGCCCCGTAAGGCGGTCAGTCAACTCGGTATTGCCATCCTCAACCGCTTTGTCGAGCCGAGGTCGAAGTTTGGCGATAATTTGGGAAAGCAGCGTCTGCACTGAGGGAATTAGATCGTACAAAATTCCTTTAGCCGTGGCTGGCAGCGGGGCAGTACCTGTTCACATTCATATTAATTATTCGTTATATTCGAATGTATTATTTATTTCAATATAATTTTTGAATGAATGAAGGTTGAATAAATATGTATTTGTTCATTTCTAATTCATTAAGATTCCTAATTTAAGAATGGATGAATAATTTTTCTCATTACTCATTTTATATGTGCTACGTGGGGAACAATTAGAACTTCGTCTAATACGGCCAACTTGTGACGAAATGAACTAATGTTCATAATGAATGAATTTTTTTTTCAATTTTTAACTTGAATTAGTTTTGAATAAAAAACTAAATATGTATGTATACCTTGACCAGGTGTGAGTTGAGGAACGGAGGTGGTCAAACTGGAGAGTGAAGATTCAAGGGTAGAAACCAATTGAGTTTCCTGCTCCAACAATACGCTAAACGGATCGTTTGTAACCTCTTGCAGCTCCAAGGTGAGGTTCGAGATGGCGGTGTTCAAGTTTGCTAAGTCCGATGTTGGCAGGGCCCGCCCTGGTAGAGCCCCCATTTCTGGCAGTTGAGGAGCTGTTATTGTTTTCAGAATTTGATCATTTAAGATTTCGGATGATATTTTGTACGCTCTAAATAAAAATGAGTAAAATTTGCTTGAGTAAAAATAGAGGATGGCACAACCAAAAGGTAAAATTTATGTGTCCACCCGTTGGACAAGTTTTAAGGAACAGGTGAGTAAATTTTACTTTCTGGTTGTGTCACCCTCTTTTTCTTCTCGCCCTTGAGCAAATTTTACTTATTTTTATTTAGAGTTTAATTTCTTGCATATAATTGATTTGAAACATTTATTAACCTGCACAGCTACCACCAATCAGAGCCAACCAGCAAATCACGATCAGCCTTAGCTTCATTTTTTCTACAATATTATTATTCAAGCTTATGTAAATGTGTAGAAGACGTGAGTACTGTTCAAAACATGTGTACAACTTGTTAGATCGAGGGCAAAGGTTGAACTGAGCTTTGCTCTTGGGATACATAAATACATAAATAATCTGACAAGGGATGATTCCCGACCGCTTCTCGTGTGCAGGGTACCCACTACGTTTTTTTAGAAATATCTATAGGAAAGAATTCATGTTAGATTCTAAAAAAACGAGTTGGGACCTTGATCATGAGAAGGGGTCGGGAACAATCCCTTGTAAATATTTAGGTACACATGTACATACATTTCCGTCCTTCGTAGTAGCATTTTCAAGTTTATTGTACATATGCACATACCTAGTAGCGCCATATGTATCTGTTATGTCCACACTCTAAGAAATCCGGTGATAAACGTGACTATATCGGTTGTGGTGATCGGGTTTTTTGTCGTTTTGTTGTTGGTGGTGTCCTTCCATGTGATGATTATTTAACTACCACCGAGCTGGTTGTGGTTATTTCCATGCGGTGACCAAGCTGTCACCGAGTGGTGCATATGTATGATAGCCATTCCGGTACAGTCACATGTACATAGTTCGTTCAAAAAATTTCTTAGAGTTTAACAACCCTAGGGTTTCTTTTCAAACTAAGAAACAAATAATGTTTCTTTACATACATATGCACGACGAGACAGGGTATTTTATATTCAGGTTCAATGACATTGGGAGAAAGGGGCCTATTAATACTTACAACCTGACGAGTTATGCATATACACTCTTAAGAATCATGTTACCCTTTTGAGAAGTAACTACACATGTACAATCTGAATCCTGTATGAATTAATCATTAATATAAAATTTACATAGAATGAATTAATTTTTCAAAAGGATAACACAATCTTTAAGAGTATGGTTCAAAGTAGGTATGCAAAGATAAATCAATTTTGTTTTATGTATCGTAATTGGCTATTTTTTCATTTATGAGTACTTTATTTTCTACAATACATATGTGTTTCTAGCTTACTTTAAAAGTATTGATTGTTTAAAATCATGAATTTAAATAAAATCACGTATATAATTTGTTATTCCTTGTCGGCATTGTTAGCACTCAGGTCTACTCAACTACCCTCTTTTTTACATAGTTTGTACTCCTAAAAATACTGCCATCCTGTTGAGCAGTAAAAACACTCTGAATTAAGTGTGTAAGCTGGATTATGTAAATTCAGGGTAACGTTAACTTGATAAAGAACAACTTTTAATTTACATACTCTGGATGCAATATAGTTAACCTATTGCACTTACTTTTCAATACCGTAACACTATTTTTAAGAGTGCGTTAAGGGGTGAACAAAAGATTTGCCTAATTAGTAAAATCCTTAATCACCCCTTCCATCGTTGCCAGGGGAACCAGAATTTGTCTTAAAATATCAAATAGCGCCGGAAGGCTGCTAACCAGCGCAGTATTTTCATCCGGAACCGCTTTGTTGACCCGAACTTGAAGTGATTCCATTATTACGGTAATTAGCAACAGCACTTGGTTAATTACATTCTGCAAAATTCCTTTAGTCGTGGCTGACAGTGGGGCGATACCTGTTCACATTTATTCACATATTCACCACAAAATTAATACCTTATTTATGTAGAACCCGATAAATTTATTAATATGTAATGCGGGAATGACTTTTTCAAAATCAATGAAGCGTAAATAATTATTTATTCACTTCAAATTCATGAATAATGAGTGAATAATTTTATTCATTACTCATTTTTCACGCTATGAATTCTTGATACGTGTGGTGTAATTAGACATCCGTCTAATAAGAGACGAAATTAATAAACATTTACTTTCAAATTTTGAATAAATGAATAACGAATGAATTATTTTCTCCAATCATTAAATTGAACCAATTTTGAATGAATAAATATACCTTGCACAGGTACGAGCTGGGCAATGGAGTTGGTCAGGTTAGTGAGTGAAGATTCAAGGGTGGAAATCAATTGATTCTCCTCCGGCAGCAATTTGTTTTTCACCTCATGCAGCTTCAAAGGAAGGTTCGAGATCATAGTGTCCAAACTTTCCAAGTCTGATATTGGCAGGGCTGGTAGAGCCCCCACTTCTGGTTGTTCAGGAACTGAATTTGTTTTTTTGAAAATTTGCCTCATTTTAACCATTCAATATTTTGTACGCGCTAAATAAAAATGCCTAAAATTTACTCAACCTTGAGTAAAAAATGGGTGACAACAGCAAAAGGTTAAATTTATCCATCCGTTGGACAAATTTCGCACAACGGAGAAATTTTGCAAAACTTTGGACAAATTTTGCACAAAGATAAATTTTACACCTTAATTGTATCTATCACACCATTTTTACCCAACCCTAAATAAATCTTGCTTCTTTTCATTTAGAGTGTACTCCTGTACTCACTTGTATACATTTACCTTTATTTATTTACCTTTATTGGGGTTGCAATATTTACTTACCTGCACAGCTACCACCAATTAAAACCAGGAAGGAAATTATGATAAAGCTTACTATTAGCTTCATCTTTTTACAATATTATTGTTCAATTCACGTAGAACACGAACTATTCAAAGAGAGTGTAACAACCCAATGATTTTTTGTCAACCCAAAAAATGTTTATTTATACCCGAGAATGTGCATAAATATTTAAGACGAGACGGGGTACTTTTCTATTCAAGTTCAACGACATTGGAAGAATGGGACCTATGTTTTCATAGATTTTGAACCTGCTGAGTTATGCACACTCTTAAAAATTATGTCAACCTTTTGACAAATAACCTCAAGGTAAACAATCTACACAAACTCCTGCCTAAACCTTGCCCTTGACCAAGTTAACGTTACCCTGGATTTGGTACATATGAATACTTTACTTAACATAAAGTTCAGAGTGAATTTATTTTTCAAAAGTGCAACACTACCTTTAAGAGTCTGGTTCAAAGTTAATATGAAAAAATCAATTCATTTTGATGTATGCAAATATATATGAATCGTTCCCCGTTATTTTTTTATTTAGTTTTTTTTGTAATTTTCTATAGAATTTCTACATACATTAATCAACATGTATTATGTAATTGTTCAAAAAAAAATTTAAATAAAATGTCATACATAATTTGTCATTCCACGTCTGCATTCCTTTCATCCATGGGGTCATCCATATATTACGCCATTAAAAATTTCCGATTTTAGCACCCACCCACCCAAAATATACATTAAGGGATGGACAATTTGAATATTATTTTTAGAAGTTAAGGAGTGGAAACATGGTTTACACACATAAGTATTTAAAAATCCATTACCGCTCGCTGCAGCAGTGCGAGGGGAGCCAGAATTTGTGTTAAAGCATGAAAAACTGAAGCTACGAAGTTAGCCAGCGCGGAATTTTCATCCGCAACCGCTTTGTCGAGACGGGCTTGAAGTAAATCAATTAGTTTGTCAAGTTGTCCCCGTATTAGGTTAATTGTCTGATCCAAAAGTCCTTTAGCCGTGGCTGGCGGCGGAGCGATACCTGTTCACATTCATTTATTTAGTAAAGAATGAATACTTATGTTATTAAATTACATAATTCATTACTCAATAAATTCATAAATAGTAAAGAATGAATACTTATGTTATTAAATTACATAATTCATTACTCAATAAACCGTAGTAACGTTAGAAGTAGCTCACCCTGGAATAATGATTAGGATATAGTTTTGCACCAAAGGTGCAAAGAGGCGGACAAAATGGATACATAATTTTCATATAATTTTGCACCAATGGTACAGAATAAAAGGGGGATAACAGAAATTTGATATAATGTTGCACCAATGGTGCAGCCGAAATGGTTAAAATTGGGACTAAATTTTGACACGATTTCAAGGTTAAGTTATGTCAGCCAAGGCTAACTAAAACTTTCAGTTAATCCTAACCATTGGTGCGGAATACATTGATTCCTCCAATTATTTCGCACCATTTTGCGTTAACAATTGGTTGATACCAATTGTGCTACAAATTAGGGTTAAAACGGCCGTGGGACTTATTAATTAGCATCAATTGATGCAAAAAACTCGTGAACAGACAGACAGACAGACAGACGGACAAGAGGAATTCAATAGCTCTCATGCTACGCAGGGTGAGCTAATAAACCGTAGTAACGTTCGAAGTAGCTCACCCTGTAATAATGATTTGGTTATAACTTGCCCCAAAGGTGCAGAAAAATGCAACAAAATAGATACATAATGTGTATGCAATTATGCACCAATGGTGCACAAAAAGGCAACAAAGTAAATCATTAATTTTTATGCAATATTGCACCAATGGTGCAGACAAATTAAACAACATAGATCAATAATTATTATTCGTCGAGGAAAGTCCAAAAATTGTGCATCACTGGTGCAGAATTACCTACCAAAGGCCAACGATAATTTTGAAAAATTTATGTCAAAATTGACTAATAACATCCGCCGAGTAGTATGCATTATTGGTGCGTTATGCATCAAAGCCCCCAATTCTATCGCATCATTTGGTGTTTCCGATTGTCAGATACCGACGGTGCTATTAATTTATGAAAAAATGGACCAGGGACATTTTAATTAGCATCAATTGATGCAAAAAGGTCGTTAACAGACAGACAGACGGACGGACAAGAGGAATTCAATAGCTCTCATGCTACGCAGGGTGAGCTAATAACGATTGAATTTTTCAAAACTTTTGAATGACTGAATATTGAATAAATATTTCTTCATTTCATATTCATGAAGAATGAGTGAATATGAAATTTTATTAACTATTTATTTATTACGCGATTTTTACTACCAGGTATATACATATGTGTAAGATACCTAATTAGAAATCTGTCTAATAAGGCAAATTTGATATTGAACAAATTAAATGAATGTGTAATGAATATTTTCAAATTTTGAATAAATGAATAATGATTGAAATTCATTCGTTGAATAAGGAAATATACCTTGAACAGATATGAGCTCTGTAATCGAGGTGGTCAAATTGGTTAGTGAAGATTCAAGGGTGGAAATCAATTGATTTTCCTGCACCAACAATACGCTAAATGGATCGTTGTTCACCTCTTGCAGCTCGAATGTAAGGTTCGAGATCCAAGTGTTCAAGTTTGCTATGTCCGATGTTGGCAGGGCCCCCGCTGGTAGAGCCCCCATTTTTGGTAGTTGATGACCTGATTTTTTTCAAAATTTGAATAATCTTAATCATTTCAGATTCAGACGAAATTTTATACTGTATGTAAAATTTAGTCAGGGTTGAGTCGAAAAATGGCAAAATTTATACACCTGTTGGACAAATTTTGCACAAACTTTGCATAACGGTGCAACAAATTTTACCTTTTGACTTTCTCATCCTCTTTTTTACTCAACCCTCGAGTAAATTTTATTTTATTTTATTTAGAGTGTACAAAATGTACATATTTATATGTACATATATGTATGCATATATGTATTGGATTCGCAATATTTATTTGCTTACCTGCACAGCCACCACTAAATAGAGCCAGAGAGGCAGTCACGATTAAAGTTAGCTTCATTTTTTCTACAATACTATTATTCAAGTATATGTATGTAAATTTGTAAAAGACGCACTTTTCAAAATATTTGTACCACTTGTAAGATCGAGGGAAAAATTTCAACTGGCAGGTGCCCGACCGCTCCAGGGTACCCACTATGTTTTTAGAAATATGTGATTATAGGAATGAACTCATCCACGTAAGATTCTAAAAAAACATAGATAGTTTGGACCTTGACCATGCGAAGTCTTTGGGAACCATCCTTTGTAAATATTTTGTTACACACGTACTTGTCCGTCCTTCGCACTTATTTAGTCGCATTTTCAAGAGTTACATGTTAAGTTCACACTCTAAGAAATCCGATGATAAGCGTGACTCTATCGGCTCTGGTGATGGGACATTTGGTCGTTTTGTTGGTGTGTTTCCCTGTGGTGATTAAGTCCCTCCGAGCTGGTGGTAGGTTATTTAAATGTGGTGACCAAGCTGTCACCGATTGGTGAGTATATCAACCCTAGGGTTTCTTGTCAAACTCACAATGCAAGTCTTTTACGTGTACAACTCAGATCTGGTAGGCATCAATTTTATTTTGTTCAGCACAAAAAATAAGCAAACCCGTATTTTTTCATTTTTCCTAATGCTCTAATTTGAGCGCGCGGCGCGAATTTTATACCATTTTTCCAGCCAAAACCTCGATTTTTAAAAATTCTGTAAATTTTCGAATTTTCGCAGGAATCCAAAAATTCGAAAACATGTCTCTTCAGATTGACCTACTTGACTTATAAAAGATCCAATTGCTTCGAAATTTGAATTTCATTATTTTTTGTCAGTCTTTGAAATTCATTAAAATTACAAACTCTTTCAAATTTTTAATTTTTCAAAAAATAGTGAATGCAAATTTTTTATAAGTCAAGTAAGTCATTCTGAAGAGACATGTTTTCGAATTTTTGGATTCCCGCCAAAATTCGAAAATTTTCAGAATTTTTAAAAACAGAGGTTTTGGCTGGAAAACAGTTTAAAATTAGCGCATTAGGAAAAATGCAAAAATACGGGCATGCCTAGTTTTTGTGGTGAACAAAATAAAATTGGAAAAATTGTAAACACTTTGAACTCAAATATCTCGGAATGGGGCAGACGAAATTGCTAAGTTGTTATATTTAAAATAATCTAGATTTTCTGAACTATCTTTTGGTACAGGAATCAGCGCTGGACTCGTTACCCCCCCCCTTTCCTTTGTCCTATGCCGCCGCTCCATAGCCTACTGTGCTGTGGTTTTAACAGCTATGCTTACCCAACCCTACTCGAACCTCAACATTTTTTTTTAATTGACCGAGCCGTACCTGAGCCGTACCTCGAAAATTTTGAAATCTGACCGAATGGAACCCGCAGCCCAGCTAGGTATGTGCGCTTCCGGTGCGGTTCGTTTCAGTACTGATCTAACCTCAAAAGTTCGGCGAACACCAAGTCTAAGTCAGTACCATGGAAATACGTTCGATGTTCATGGTACGAACATGGCAAGTACAGATATTTCTCGCATTATCCATTATTTTTATGAGTTAAGGTCGCATCAGGGTTTTAGTGAATTCAGTTTTTTCGCGCCTAAGTGAATTTTGTTGGC